AACGTGGCGGTGGACGCGCTGTCGGCCTTCCGTCTGGCGCAGAACTTGCCGGCCGGGGCCAACTCCTCCGCGCTACACGCGCCGCACTCACTGCGGCTACTGCCGCTATATCTACTCGCATTGCTGAAGAGGGTATGTATCAAACTATTTCATCAGGAATATCTTATCAGCTGCAATAAGTATATAGCTTAACATAGATGACTCTTTAAGATGTCGTATTTAGTTATATATGGTTAAACTGTCAAACACCAAGCGGTTACCGGTGACCGCAACCTATTGTTCTGTCTACAAAACCGGTACTCGACGAGTTAATTGACCTTTAATCGATTTAGATACAATTTCAATGTCATTGTCAAATGTGATTTGGTTCTCTAATTCGACTTATTTATCAAGCTTTTTTTAACTTTAGTCATGTTCACTACGATTTCTACTTAATACAATGAAAGACTTACATTCGGTTTAGCTAATGAAGATTATTGTAGAAACTAAACATTCTTGCCTAATAGACTGAATTTTTTATATGAACACATGACGTACAGGACCTAAATCTAGCCTAGCATCACCTAGAGAACTGAAGAACTACTCTTAACATACATTTTATTAATTTTTCTCAACAATTTCGTCCCTAAAAGTGTCTTTATTCCCCAACTTCCAGAAAGCGTTCCGCACGGGTACGTCGACGCGGCTGGACGACCGCGTGGGCGACATGTGCGCGGTGAAGGCGTGGCCGCTGGGCGCGCTGGCCCGCGCCGTGTACCCCGCGCTGTTCCCCGTGCACCAGCTGGCGCACTGCCTGCCGCACGACGACGACGACCACGCGCCCGACCCGCCGCGTCTGCAGCTCACTGCCGAGAGGTAATCTAAACATACTACTGCTTATATAGATGGTTTTATAATAACTATCGTAAGACATACTAAATTAACTATAAATCGCGAGTTACTTACGTGAATATACCGAGAAAAGCTCTACTAGTTTCGAACCACAGAGGGGTTCTTCCTCATGAGCAGTGTGCGCGGTCGCGGCGATGTCGCGCGGCCTACTGAAGCGAAACTAGGAGACCTTTTCTCAGTATATTCACGTGAGTAACTCGCGATTTTTAGTTATTTTATACAGATAATACATAGGCGATTTGACTTCCTTGATTTGAAATATCTCCTAGATGGGCCAAATGGGTCTTGATCTTACAATAAGGCGACAAACTTTAAACATTCACGAGAATTTCCTCTAATACAAATTGTATTATTCCAGGATAAACTCAACGGGTGCCTACCTCCTAGACGACGGGGAGAGTATGATAATGTACGTGTGCCACGGCGTGAGCCCGGCCTTCCTGTCGGAGACGTTCGGCGTGACGGCCTTCTCGCAGCTGCCCGACGAGATGCGCAGTCTGCCGCGCCTCGACACCGACGGCAGCGCGCTACTGCACGCCTTCATCGACAAACTCAACGACGACCGGCCCTACGCCTCCGATATACTTATATTGAGGTCAGTGGCTGAGTATAGTCTTTATGATTATGATTCTTGTGTGTAAAATATTTGTTAAAAACGCAAATGTGTACGTACAGTTTATTCTTTAAAGAATTCCTGATGTCTAGTGATTCTCGTTACTTTTTTGAGTAAAAGTGTATCATTTGTACCTACAGGGACAACTCCCCGTCACGGACGCTATTCACGGAGCGCCTGGTGGAGGACAGAGTGGAGTCTGCGTTCTCGTACTACGAGTTCTTACAACATGTGAAAAACCAAGTGAAGTGAGGTGCGAGTGTCAGGCCAGTGCGGAATGTCCGCGCCTGCAGCTAACTTCAGGTGGCGGGCTCACGGCACTGTCCGAACTATAACTATCCTATTAGCACTTCTGGTTTTCGAGTTTTATGAAAACTGGTAGTAGTGGTATTGTAAAAATTCGCGTTATTTATTCCAAATTTGTCCGTTATGTATTGTGTATATTTATTGTTTAGTTACTGGCCGGTCTCGATCCGCTCTCTCGATCAATGTAGAACAATAACATTAGACGAGTATTAGAATGAGGCTATAAATTATATTTTTGTTATAAAAACTGATAACTTATTTACACTATGTAACAGATAACGAAAGAAATGCTTCCATGCTTCTAAATTGTAAGGAGGTTAAGTGTTACTTGTGAGTATGTTAGGATAGCAGACAGAATATAATTGCGTAGACAATAGAGTCGAGTGGGTACGGAGACCTATGTTGATCGAGTCGTTATGATTGCATACTTTGTGTTGCCCGACAACTGTTGGAAGGACTAGCTAGGCATAATAGGACCGCTGTTAATATGAGACGCAATATCCTTCAAGGCACTTGTTAGAATGGTAATGTAAAAATAGACGTATATTTTATTTACCAACAGAATTCTAAAACAGTGGCCCAATTCGAATAGGAATAACTGCACATGTAGAGTCACGTAACATCACAATCGAGAAATTAGTGAGCAATTAGAGCAAGCGACAATATCGATAATTTTATGTAAACTCGAGCCAGAAGCGCTATATATTTATTGTTAATGTAAAGAGATCTAGTAGTGTCGTTGATTTGTGAAATACATAATAATAAAGTATTTGTGAATGAGCGATTTGTTGTCGCTTAGGTGACCACTGTGAGATTTTCATTGTACGAAAAAGTGTAGTAACGTGCTGGAATTTGCGTTAATAAGTAACGTACAGGAAAAATCTTATAGTGCTCGTCTGCCATGTCAAACAATGTACCGTCTAACGAAAAACGTTAGTAAATGAACTACAAGAACCAACCTTATTGCCTACGACATAGACATTGTCCTCGGAAGACGTGTGGTCGACGGAGTGTTATCGCGTTATGTTATACAGACAAGAATGAGACTATGAAGTATATAACTGAACATTATTTTACCTGTTACGTCATCCAAGTTGTTTTTAAAATATATTTTTATTTCTTGGAAGTCTATTTTTATTTCGCCTTCAAGGTGGTTGGTTTTAACGGATTGTTAAACGATTGTGTAATAACTTAGTGACGTGAATACAATACTAGATGAAGCAATAATTGTATAACATTCTGTAAGTTTTGAGGTACTGAAGCTCGGTAAACACATTGTTATTCAACAAGTGAACATAATTATATTTCTAAGGGTTTCTGTGCGTGTATTATTTGCGTGCGTGGACTTTGACGGAACAAAACATGCAACGTGTAGTTTCGAAATGTTTTAATGTTAAGAAAAGTTCTCGATAGTAACACCAACTTACGATGTTCAGTCGGCGGCGCTAGTTTATTTAAAAAAGTATTTACGCCATTTTGTTGGGGCGTCCTTTAGTTTCAATTTTGGCCGCTGGAACACGTAAGTTGGTGGGACTAGAATGCGAATAGATTCCAAAGGTTGTCGTATATTTTGTTCCGTGGCGCTGACTGTATGACCGTAACCCGTGTGTTGTGTACAAAATATTTGGTATGTTTATTTTTTTACATATTCGTAGGGCGTGGCGCGGTCGGAGCGGAGGCGGCGTATGTATTCCCCGTCGACGCTAAAATACATATATTTTTTATTGTTAATTCCATGTTAGGTGTATGTAGTTAACTTTAAACTTGTATCTATTAATCATAATTCGATATTATTTCACCATTGTAAATTAAATAAAATTATTTAAAATTGTAGGTAGTGCGTTTTTATACTGAAATGAGATTGGTTGGAAAATGGTGGAAATGTGTATTGTGCAACTTGTGATCTATGTAACTTGTTATATTACTGTTTGTACTCTAATAATGCTATAAAAATGTCGAGAGAGGTAGCAAGCACTATTATGTATAAGCCTGTTTTATAGTCAACACTTCTCTCGCCAAAATTGAGTATTGAATACCATTTTACTTACTCGAACGTAATTCTTATTCGTGATGGCGTTTGGCATGATTCAGTATATTTACTGTTAAAATACGATGTACAATTTTAAACTTTAAATGGATAACAATAAAGTGTATTCGGCAACCACACGCACAATTAGAGCCTTATTTACCTGCATTACATGTTGCACTGTACGTATGTTTCTATAGTTTATCGGACGCTTATATGCTACCTTTGTTATTCAATATCCAATATTCATCTACATGCTTCCTCTTGTTATGCAATTTGTATATAAAACTGGTACATTTTCATGTCTATAAGGCTTAAACTTGGGGAGGAACAAAATTGAAGTGAGATTTTTCTTTTAAAATATTTGCATGTCATTTTAATAATGGATTTATGTATCACATGTTATGTCCACGCTATATTAAAACTGAGAAATATGATATAAACATGGACTTGGAAAGTCGATATTGGGCAGTGGACCATTTGCAGCTCTAGTGAAACTTGTGCAAATTTCTCGTCTTAACTCATTTTTATACCTTCCATATCGTATTGTGTTATTCCTTTGAGAATCTCAAAATCAGCGGATAACCTCTCATATAAGGCGTGTGCCAAATGGGCATGCGTAGAAGCTGTTATGCAGATAAGACTGCCTGCGAAATGCCATTCCCAATAAAAAAACGAATTATCTTGGCTGCCCTATATCTTTAGCTATACCCATTTTTTAAAATTACAGCTACCAATTCTCTTTCAAGTTTCGTCTAAAAGTAATAAGTCGGTCAGAATAGGTGTTTGTGCCTGCGTTGACCTAAAACAATAACTATTAGCTATACTAGGTATAATAAAATTGTTTAAAATTAATGCCAGTGTGACTGATCACGAGAGGAACATTGTAATTTGTTTCAATACAAACAATCTGAAATCATGAGTGTTTCCTTTTATATACCCAAGTGTACCGCAAACCTTAGCTTTTAACATATACTTTTAACATATAACATATAACATCTATGTAAACTTGATAAATTCTTTCGAAGTTGTAAAAAAACGTAGTCGATGAATAAGTATTTAATGAATACCTGATTCAAACTTACAACAGTACATTATAAAATTAAACAATTAAAATTAAAGAAGTAACAATAAAATCTTTAGGAATAAAAGCACTATATAATTAACAAAAATAATATTACAGTATACATGGTTTGGAATCAATTCTGTCGCTTACTGTGTTACAGTCGGTAATTCACGTCATATTATTGAGATTGACTGCCGTAACTTAAACATTTTTTTATCATCGCTAGAAGACTCTGTAAATCAGTCGCTAAGACAGAAATGTCAACTTTTACACATGTACACTATAAGGTTGAAAATCAGAATCCTTAAAGAAATTCACGAAGATTATCTCGCGCTGATCATTACTTAGTACAGCGACAATCAGGGAAATTACATTTTCTATCCTTGAGGGCTCGACACTCGGTGCACTCGAGTTCTCCTTCGATAAACATACCGCAACATTTAACACAATCTCTAGGACTTGCGAAAGGACGGCCATGGTCAGCGTTAGTTAGAAAGTAGTCCTGTGGCCCGAATTTCGATCGTCTGAAGAGTTGATGGTCTATGAGAGACCAGAACCAGAGGTAGGCGCGAGCGCGTCGCAACATGGATGAACATACCAACACAGCTTCTATTGCCCTCTGAGCAATCACATCGCGCTTGACACACGTGTTGAATTTTAAATTCTTTAAATTACAGCGAAATACCTGAAATATAAGATTCTGTAGCCTTTTATTATCTAATTTGTTGTTAGGGTAGTAGTAGTTTATAAATTATAGTATTAGGATAGGAAGCAGGATAATGTAGTATCTACTGAACTAGTAATCTTACCAACAGCCGATTATCTCTAAGGCAAACTAGGCAAGTGCCTACGGCCAGGTACCGTCTTTACTCTTATCTTCAAGGGGCCCCGAAGGACCGAAAATTTCTTCGACGGACACATACTCGCTACATGTTGCGCGGTAATCGGCTGCGGTTCGATTCCCGCACGGAGTAAATCTTTGTGTGCTCTACAAATTGTTCCGGATCTGGATGTTTATAAACGCACCCAGAAACAGAAATAAAATTCAAAAAGGGCCTCGATTGATTGTGTGCTCAAGGGCCCCAGCGTAGTCTAAGACGGCCCTGCCTAGGGCGCCGTGTTACGCGGCGCCAGAGGTGCTAGCCTTTTTTTTTTTAAGGGTGGAAAATCATCGAATGACTGCTCCCGCCTGGGTGAGGAGGGAGGGAGTGTCAGACTCTTACTGACTAAAAACCACCCCGGTCCTTCTCCTGCACGTCGAGCCGGAGCCCCGGTTACCCGTTAGGTTCTCCGCGACAGGTGCCTGCCTAGGGCGCTCTCTATGTTTAATCCACTTCTAGTCTTACCTCATGTCCACATATTTCTAACATACAATAATTTGCCCACTTCACTGGAACTAGCTTGACGCGGTAACCCTTGTTTTGGAGATCATCTGGAAGTTACAAGCTTGATAGGTTTATTAGGTTTATTTATACATTAGCTTTACCTACTGATTGCAGAGTAGAACATTAGATATATTTATCATCAGCATTTACGGCTAAATTCCTCCCACTACAGCTGACTATGATTTGGGCAGTAGCATTCTCTGACAAACAAACCACAATCTTTTCTGCCTGGCCTCGAGATTATCTCTCTTATATAGGTACAGATGGCCCATAATAGCATCATGAGACAGAGAATTGATAATAAGTAGGTAATTTTGTGAGTTATATTTGTACTTTTTTTTGTATTATTGAATTATGAATAAAGTTTTTATATATTATTTTCGTCATAAGAATTATGGAGAAAACAATTTGTACTTGAAAGCAAGCAGGCACGTTAGTATTAGAACACCATACCTGAATTAAAATACACTTACCTCTTATACCGTACACAATTTGCGGCTTATGAATATGTATACCGAATGTTTCGCAAGGGCCGTAGTATATAACTACATACAAAAAAGACATTATTCTAAACTAAAAACACTTTATTTTTACGTAGCACTACTGATTAGAAATAAAATTTAAAGAAATTACAAAATATCTGCTCAAAACTAGCCAAAAACTGAGACAATTTAAACATTTTTTTGGTTCTCCATAGATGCTATAGAATAATTGTGTTTTATAAGTATTTGTCTATATATTAAAGCCGACAATAAGTTTTCATTCAAGACCATAGACGTAGCTACCAACAAAAGTTGCAAGTGGGTTTTCAGGCCTCTTTGAAGACAACTTAAATTACACTTTGCCTAAATACCTTAAAGGAAAAAAAAAGATTCCTTGCTGCATTCCAATTGGTACGAACACCCGACCGAACTTGTAGCTAGCTAACATCAAAATAAAAAACGTAACATTATGAAACACACGACTAAAAATAATAAAACATACAAAATAAATTATTATAACAACTTTATTGTATCAAAGCTTTGCGACACGACTAATTCTGGAATTCATCAATATTTGTTTGAGATTTACTTAGACTACATAGTTACCTTTTAGTAACAGTTAGACTTATGCGTTATGTATTCGCGGAGAACCTAACGGGTAACCGGGGCTCCGGCTCAACGTGCAGGAGAAGGAACGGGGTGGTTTTTAGTCAGTAAGAATCTGACACTCCCTCCCGCCTCACCCAGGCGGGAGCAGTCATTCGATGATTTTACCCCCTTAAAAAATGCGTTATGTACATATATACAAATTATACATATAAAATAAAGATTAATTCCTATTTATTTTTGTCAGGCATGCGTGACTGAGGAGTTGTACAAGTCTAATTCCTTTTTGACTTTGTGAATGAAAAACAGAAATCGTCAGTTTGCCAGGAAAAGCTCAGGTGAAGCTAGATAAAGTAATAGTATATCATACTTTAGTAATTATTAATATTATTTAGAAATATTAACATTTGAGTCATGGAGGCGTTGAGTTGCTATAATATTGCAGCATTTTAAACATTCTTTAATGTCACTATATTCTACGGATTCAACGGTGCCTGGCCAGTTGTCCATTGGTCCATATCCGGTTCGTTTGAAGAGTTCATGGTCTATTAAAGACCAGAACCAGAGGTAGGTTCTGGCTCGACGGAATTTTACACTCGATGTTATCACTGCTTCCACGGCACGCTTGCAAACAGGATCTTGATCGAAAGGTGTGTTGAATTTAAAGTTCTTTATGTTACCACGCCATACCTGTGAATAAATTATTATTATTTATCAATTATTTGTTAAGCAATGGTGGCAGCACAACAAGTAGATACGCTATAGGGTAAACAGTTTCTCTGCTTTTGTTACTGAAACTGCAAAGTTTAGTATCTAAGTTAGTTTCGCGGTACGCAGAGCCGTATTATCCCTAAGGTAAATTTGGCAATTGCTAGAGCGCCATGTTACAAAAGAGCGCTGCGAAACTCGCGTTCCCAATAATGGCCAAAAAAAAAAATATGGTCGCCTATGTACGGCTTGCCTAGGGCGCATTCTAGTTTTAATCTGCCTCTGGGGTGGTTGAAAGTGTTCGTCACCGTTGCAGAAGAACACTGGCTGCAGGAACTGTTAAAGGATTTATTGCCAATATTTCAAGTAAGGTACTTACATAACATAAAGTAACATCACGTCTTTTTATCCCCGAAGGGGTAGCCAGAGGTGTACATTATGACACTACAATGTATCACTTTTCACCATTTATGGTATGAGTCCCATGTAATAGGGATCCTATTGCAATGCCCGGGCACAATTCTAGACTCCGTGCTACTACTGAGAATTTTTAAAAACCCAGTAATACTTTGCCCGACCTTGGAATCGAACCCGAGACTCCTTGCCCGGTAGTCGTACTTGCCTTTCCCCCCTTAAACTGTCAAACACCAAGCGGTCACCGGTGACCGCAACCTATTGTTCTATAATTGTGTCTACAAAACCGGTACTCGACGAGTTAAAAAAAAAGACTCCGTGCTATTACTGTGAATTTTTGAAAAACCCAGTAATACTTTAATTGAACCCGAGACCCCTTGCCCGGTAGTTGCACTTGCGTCCACTCGACCAACGAGGCAGTCAGGTACTTATTCTACCGATTACCGTAGATAATATAGATACCTATTGTGCATTAACTGTTATTGGTAATTTTTATTACCTCATGTCCACACATTTCAATCATGCAATAGTTTAGGAACCGTACAGGGCGGAGCTGGACTCGGTACCCCAGCTTGATGAGATATTCTGTCAAATAATACAGGAAGGTCATAAGTACACAGGGAGGCTTGTATAGGTCCTTGTGACATTACATAATCATGTTTTTTTATTAGTAACTAGTGGACCGTGCGAAATTTGATTCGCAGTCTTATGCTAAACTTTCTACAAATAATAACAAACCCAACAAAAATAAAAAAAGATTTACCAAAATCGGTTCAGCTGTTCTCGAGATTTGCGCTTAGCCACACATTAAGTGATTCATTTTATATTTATTGAATCTATCAATCGTCGGGTCGGCGTTTGGCCACTATCTTGCTTGATTGTATAATCTATGATGCATCTATAAATAGAGTCTTCTTGCATAGGCATTAGGAAGGTATCGAAGGTACACATATTGCAGAAATGATAAAGTATAATAGGTATTGAGTACCTCTTAAGCCATTTAGAAATTGCGGTTTATGCATACAATTATCAAATGTGTTGCAGGGTCCATAATATATTTTCACACTAAGAAAAGACATTCTTAAAAATAAAATGATTAAACAAAATCACGTACATCCACAATTAGTAAATTATAATCATTAATATGAACAATATTATAACTCGAAAATATTTCAATAATGACAACAGCTGTCACCATCTTTTTTAATATGAAGAAGAGGTTTGGACAGCTCTATTAAAAAGTTCAAGGTTCGAGTTAAGAAAACGATTCAGATTGAATGGAAGATGAGAACTTGTAGGTATAAGTATTTAAATGCTAACTTTGTCCCGTTATTAAAATAGACTCTTCCATATGGATATGAAAAGTGGTTCCATACTTCAATTTCGCGATAGTTTACATTAACTCGTCGAGTACCGGTTTTGTAGACACAATTATAGAACAATTGGTTGCGGTCACCGGTGACCGCTTGGTGTTTGACAGTTTAAACATTCCAAAATAACTACGTAAAAATGAAATGATTTCAAAACTAAATTTACGTAGTGTACTGAGGCCTTAGTACGAGTTCCTTTTTCGTTTAAAGTAATCGTAACGAGTACGCGTTCGGCGCTGTGATTGGCCGGCTCTGATGAACCAACCAATCAGAGAACAGAACGCCGTCTTGTTTCGATCACTTTAAACGAAAAAGAAACTCGTACTAAGGCCTCTGGATGCTTCTAGTTCAAAGATATTCAGTTCGTAGATCGAAGTAACTGAGTGTCACATTTTCTGTTACCATAAGTCATCATTAATAGTTTACTGCTGGACTATCATCATCGTCATCAACAGCCTATCAATGCCCACTGCTGAGTAAAGCCTCTTCTCGTACGGAGAAGGTTTGAGCATTACTCCTAAGCTCACTATCACACGTTTTGGATTTCTATACAACTAATAAAACTACAAAACTTTCCTTATAATGAAATGTATTATCAAATTATTATGAACTAAAGTAGGTACTCGTAACAATAAGTTCTCTAAAGACAAATATTAATACCTACCTACGTACGATTTGGAAGGAATCTACCTTTGGATACCGTCAGCATCCTTATTTATTCATTAAAAGTTAACTTTAAGATTATAGTGGTACAATGAGTTAAAAAATTACGAACATTATTTGAAGGTTTTGATTATTGATTCTATGATTTGATTATTAGGAAGTGCTGTCATCTTCATCAGAGTATTCCTTTGCATCATTATTATATTTTACTAAAATTTTACAGCAATCGATACACTCCTTTACTGGCGCAAGTTCTGTCCAATCAATTTCCACCGGCCAGTAGTCTTTGGGTTGGTATTTGGTTCTTCTAAACATTTGATGGTTCAACACACTCCAGAACCATAGTGTGGCTCGAGCGTGGCGGAACTTGGCGGCCGATGTCATCACAGCTTCCACGGCCCGCTGACACACTGGGTCTTGCGCATACGAATGGTTGAATTTCAAGTGTTTTATGTTACAGCGGAATACCTGTGAAATATGGTTTATATGTAGAAAAACTGTAACCGATTGAAATCGGATATATCTTAAAAATGCAACCGTGGACAACTTCATGGACTGTCGGGCAGGTACTCCGTCTCAATCGGAGACCTTACTGCAAGAAGTTATCTGCTAAGCTAAGGAAATTATGGCAAACCTCCCCTTATGAAAGAAAAAACTGTTTATTCAGCAGTGTACCTACGTATTCTGCTTGATGATGACCACCTTAAAACTCCAATCCATTATAAAGAAAAGGGGTTAATAACAAATTATAAGAAAGGAGCAGGGGATGCGTAACATGTTGTATCGTGTATTATAAATCCTTTTTAAATGCGAATTTTAGTTTGTTTTTCTTTGGTACCTTTAGGTATATAGGTTTTAGCTACTTGAAATATTGCTTATCTACTTATAGCTAGGAGGATTTTTTTTAAGAGGGGAAAAATCATCGAATGACAGCTCCCGCCTGAGCGAGGCGGGAGGGAGTGTTAGACTCTTACTGACTAAAAACCACCCCGTTCCTTCTCCTGCACGTCGAGCCGGAGCCCCGGTAACCCGTTAGGTTCTCCGCGACATAGCTAGGAATATGAAGTCGGACATTGGTTATATTCGCGCGGGAAATCTATATATATAAAAATGAAACCCGTTTCGCGTTGTCACGGCATCACGTGTGAACGGCTGAACCGATTTCGATAATTCTTTTTTTTAATTGTTTATGGAAGTCCAAGGATGGTTCTTACGGAAGAAAATATTAAGAAAATCTTTAAGAAATATTGAAAAATATACTTGTAATTTTGCATATTTTAAAAAACGCGCGTAAGTAATGTCAACGTCATTCACAGCCATAGACTATATTCGAAGAGCATCGTTTGTTCGGAAACGTGGTTACTTAATTAAGTTTGTTCGGAAATGTGGTTAGTTAATTAAATCCTATTGCACTTAAATACTAATTTTTGAAAATAACTCACCATGAAATAGTAAACCTATACACATTTCGCATAACCTATTTAGTAGTCTGTGGTACTACCTATCTGTTTCCTTAGCTTGACATTGGCCAATGGCTGAACAGCCAAGCCAATTTAAAAAAAATATCTTTGGTAATCTGTGGCATCACATCCATAACCGCGGTAACAATAATTTTAATAAGTTTTTGATAAAGTTTGTTTTGTTTTAAAGTCTAAGAAGTTTTTTGTTTGTTAATAAGTGTTTGTTAATTACGGTAAGTTGACAGCTTCATATCAACTTTTGGTGACTACTTACATAATATTACAATTTGGTATACATGGTTATACAGAAAATATATAAGACCTTTTTATTCTCAGTTGGATTTTCGTTTTTAACAATGCCACCAACCAGACGTACATGAAAATATATATTTTGTTTTTTATTTAATTAAATTAGTATAGTTCTTCTCAGGTATGGCGAGACCAGGGAAATAGGGATTCATTTTTATATGGGGGATCTTATAGATTTCAGTTTAAATTGAATAGGTACTCATACCTAAGATAGGTCAACTATACAAAATAAAATAGTGTATCAAAGCTTCGCTAAAGCGGTACGAAGTTCGCCGGGTCAGCTAGTATGTGATAAAATCCTAATACACTGAGTAACGTAGATAATAGAATATGATTTGAATCTTACTTCGTGTCCACACATTTCAATCATGCAATAGTTGATAAAGTTCACTGGTATTATGCTCAATCGAAATCCCATTTTCATTAGACGTTCTGTAAAATAATGATCATTTTTTATACTTGATAGGTTGATGTTTGGCCGCCGTTTCGCCTGGTAGTAAGCGATGATGTGGTCGACGATGGACCACACCTACCTATGAGCAACCTGTTCACTTGGGACTTGAAGACACCCAAGTTGTATTTGCCGGAACAAATTCCGGCAAGGAATGCCATTTCTTAGGGATTCGCAAAAGGAAGCTTGATGCGAATGGGTGTCTAGTCTACCATATAAAGGTGGCGCCCTGCCGTTCTTCATTATTTTTTGTCACTTCATACCTAGAAACTTTTCTTTATTTTTCGCGTAAGAAGAGGCCTTTTCTCTGCAGTGGTAAAATTTAGGCTGATGACGATTACATTTCATGGGAAATTCTGTTTAAATCTTTTGCAGCAGGACGCCATTATTTATCCTTAAGCGAATGCAAAGGTTTGCAGTTTTATTATGTGGTCACTCATAGTGTTTCAATTTTGAAATATTACCGTCATTATGCCCAAACTGCTTGTAGATGGAAAGAAAACTTTGACCAGTTTGTAACATGTAAGAAATTTAATATGTTAGTTACCTCTAACACCATTTAGCAACTGGGGTTTGTGTTGGCAGCTATGAAATGTATTGCAGGGTCCATAATATATTTTTACAAATAGGAAAGACATTCTTATAAAATAAAATCCTTAGAACAAAATCACGTAAACAATTAGATATATTAAATTAAAACAATTCTGGGAAACAATTCAAGTAGATTATTATGTATTGTAAACTATGTTATGATAATAATAGGTAAATTATTTACTTCTTGAAGCGATTTTTGTCATAAATTGCTTTTTTTATTTGATACGATTATGATTGACATTAAGAATATTTTATTCTTAAAAAAAATCGAAGCATAGTTTTTACAGTCTTCATTTTCACGATTCCACACTCTTTTCTCGGAAACTCCAAAGAACCCATTTTTTTAGGAATTATTTTTTAACTCTTCTGTTGGTCTGTCGTCATAACTAAGAATGCAGTAATCGCAAAATTTAATACTGCGTTTTTTCTTATCATTGCAGCAGTTTTTATGCAAGTACGGCGAAAATTACGACATAAAAACATACTTCGAGTGAATTTGTTATGACAATATTTTTTTTCATGTATCTCTTGGGATACCATTTCTGGAAGAAAGTGAAAATCTCAAAAATGTCGATTACTGCATTCTTTGCTATCAGGGCAGTGGTGTTGGTCGGTGTTTGATGGACGTCGATTGCTTATAATCTTAGTAGCCTGCACGTTTGCCTTCCTATCCATAAAAATCCCGGCAACTGGATAAAAAGGGATCTCACAGTTAACGCTCAAACCTTTGAATATACTCTACCCTTTTGAAGTAGATTGGGTGTAGTGCGCGTCCGTTCGGCCGCACTCCCCCCAACCTACTGACGGGAACATCTAGCCGCTACGGAATCGCTCTAACATACAGACCTACCTACCTACCTACATTAATATGATATGATTTCATCAAATGGGTTACTTACCTAACTATAGGAATATGGCGGTCAGGTAGAACGGCAATTTACCTTCTACATGCAGGGAACATCTTTGCCGAACTCAATTTATATATTTTGTCACTGAGTCTGAAGTTTACTGGAATGTATTCGTTTTTTCTAATTAGTATAAGCGCTGCTCGCTTTTTCTAAAACTGGAGAAGTTACAAATGCGTTGCAGATAGGAATGAAAATTTAGCACTAATCTAACTCAGATCTAAAAAATTAATACTTGTACCTTGGCCAACCCAGAGGTCGAGAGCTAAATACTGTCGACGTCAGCTGTGAACAGTAAATCTCCATCAGTCATTGGTCTTTTAACCAGTAAAATATAAAAACAAATATTTCAGTACAATGACCCCAGTGACATTGGATGTAGAACTACTTATCACAAGGTTTTATTGAATACAATGTATTGTACTGTACCCATATTATCAGTATATGTACTGTATTGTTTATCATAGATAAAATCTTTTATTACGGATTTAATGATTTAATTGTAGTCAATATCTATAAGATTACAAGGGAGTAAAAAAGATTAGAGGAAATCAAATGAAACAGGGGTATAGAGGTGGTCATTCCCTAACTTTTGCTCTGGGAATGGGGGTCTGATTCTTGACGGTTCACAAGTTATGACTAGTTTTCGTTTTGTTCAATGAATTTCCATTGAGCTCAAAGAAAAAATTAACAACTATCGGAGGTACCAATGTAATTTTCTGTATAGACTTGTTCAAGAACGAATCTTTCTCATCACCATACTTTTACTTAGATAACTAACATGCAAAGACTTAGGAAATAACATCGTTTCTGTTCGCCGTGATCCATACTTCCAGGCACACCCCGTATTTTTTCACATTATCTATTTTTTTTAATCATCTAATTAAAGTATAACTCACAGCTGTTATTTCAATATGAACCATGAACCAGATAAAGGTCAGCTGATAAAGGTCGCAGGAAGCTTGATGCACGTTAGCCATTTATTTAGTGAGCAGCCTGCCAAGCAATATGACCAACACCTTTTATGTAAAGGTGATATCTGACAGCCACTCGAATGAATATTCACCCCAGTGAGTGTTTCGTGTCGCGGAGAACCTAACGGGTTACCGGGACTCTGGCTCGACGTGCAGGAGTAGGAACGGGGTGGTTTTTAGTCAATAAGAGTCTGACACTCCCTCCCGTCTCACCCAGGCGGGAGCAGTCATTCGATGATTTTCCCACTAACTGTCAAACACCAAGCGGTCACCGGTGACCGCAACCTATTGTTCTTTAATTGTGTCTATGATGACGGTACTCAACGAGTTAAAATAAAGTGAGTATTCAAATTCATTCCATGTTCAGACGACTTTAGTGGAATTACAAAGAAAAGGATGTTTATTATTTGTTTTTAAAAATATGTCATCAATTGATGACGTGCGTCTCGGAATCAGTTTAATATTACGTGATCATCGAATCAAATCCGAGTAAACGTTCACTATGTGTGCAGACAGTTCATTTTTTGTTCATTCTGAGTAGGACTGAATGATGCCGAGTGCCAAAATCCAACATCGTTGGATCGGTTCACTTATGAGTTCATTCTGCACTGTTGTTTCATTCTCATGTTCCGACGTATTTTGAGTGAAAGATGCCGAATGAACCCATATATCCCCAATCGGTCACCGGTGACCGCTCTCCACTAACTACATTATAGACCTTATTTCCAATGTTTAGAGACTACTTTTGTATGAACAAATTTAGGGGATGATTTTCAACAATTTTCAACGGGTGAAGAGACAAAAATGAACCGTCTGGTTTCACCTTTTTTTTTTAAAAAAAAACGTTGCCCTACACTAGGATTTTCTCCTGGGTCGTGGGTGCGTTTACAAGTTCACATACACAATGACACCCAGACCCGAAACAACCTTCTACGACTATTTGTCTTTCATTCGTTATTTTTCACTCAAATTGATATATGGACTATGAGTCCATAGTCGAGCATTGGTCTGACGCGAACTGCTGTTGTTGCTAGTTCAGACAGATAGTAACAAATTGTTTATGTAGTTATTTATTTGCTTGTTTTTCCTCATTATGTACATGATCTAGATAACTTCCACAGCAACATACTATAATATGTAATATAGGTAGATAAATATGTTCCATAAAATTAATCTGTAGGTTAGATTACTACAAAGTCTGTCAAATGACTTTGTGTACTATACTTTATTAATCTTCCCAAGATATCTGTTGATTACAAAGAATTATTTTATGTATATTATTATTTACAAGTTTAATTTAATCTGATCGGCATAAAAAAGGTACTGTATGCACTTTAATCATTCATAGAGATAAATAAAGAGGCTCAATTAATCATTTTGTTTTATTACTTTATTTAAAACTAGCGACCCGCATGCAATATGCATGTATTATACATATAAACCTTCCTTAAGAATCACTCTATCTATTAAAAAAAACCGCATCAAAATCCGTTGCGTAGTTTTAAAGATCTAAGCATACATACGGACATACAGCGAAAGCGACTTTGTTTTATACTATGTATTGATGATTCTAAAAACCCATTGAGTAGGTGTAGTGTAAAAATAAAACTTAAATATATTCCTAATTATATAAATATAATTGAAAAATATTATCCATAACAATACATGAACAGTTTTAAAGACATAACAAATTATTTTAACTAATTACAAAACACGGTTAACTTACGTAACTGTTCAACAGTTTCAAGTGGTTCCCTGATTATCGACTCCGGTCGTGCATTGAAACCAGTCGAGCAACCTCAAACATTTACGTGAGTTAGTAGTACCTGTGTGTTTCGATATAATACAAGCACTAATTTCAACATCCCTAATAAAACTAGGCAGCAACCTGACTTTGTTTGCTTCTCAGTCTTAATTTCAAAGGTAATCCTCCCTTTATTGATTGCACCGTGTTACTTCCATGGTTGACCTCTAGATGGCGTTTTGTATTCGCTGCTGGTTCTAAGCTGAACTTGTGTAGTACTGCTGCTAGTCCTGCTAGGGACTGCATCTCGCCTAGTCGGGCACCTGAAGAGAGAAGAAAAGATATTTAATACAAATAAAAAAACAATTCGAAGTAGGTTTTCAAAAGGGTTAATGTTGTTGGTCTTGATTAATAAGCGTCACGCCTACCAAAAAATTGCTAAGAGTGAAAAATCATCTAATGACTTCTCCCGCCCAGGGTGAGGCGAGAGGGAGTGTCAGACTCTTACTGAATAAAAACCACGATCCTATTCTTGCTTCGAGCTAAAGCCGCGGCAACCGGTTCAGTCTTCCGCAGCTACGAATTGGACGTCCGCTCTATTGGGCCCTATCTGAGGTGGTCTGATGGCTCTTTGGCGCCCTACCAAAAGGACCAGGACTATTTAGTAGAAGTGAGTGTTGATTGAACTTAGTTCTAATACTGGATCGGTCAAGTAAGGTTCAGTACGTAGTTAGCACAGAATCTGACATTAAGAATAACGACTGAAGTTCTAAATAATAAGTTATAATAAGGGTTGAAGGAAGACTGACGTTAATCAAAGGGATGAAATAATTGCGCTATGGATTTATTATTCGGATGGTAAATAGATAATTTATCATTCACTTATCACAGTAATTACTGCTTAGACGTTAGTAATTGACATTAAGAAGTTTATAGATGTCAATATAATATTTATGAGATGCAATGTTTTTGCATAATAAATAATTGTGCAATTTCATCTTTAGGAAAAAGCTTTAATATTGTTGAGCCTATTTGTCAATCACTTAAATGCAATAATTTATACAAATATTATTAAGAGGAAAGATATTATTGTTTGTTCATGTATATTGAGTAGGCTACGAAATGAGTGGACAAATTAATAAAATAATTTCACCATTGAAAACCTTAGTAACTTTTCAGAGAGTAACATAAACTAGACAGAAATCTTTTCATTTGTATATGGGCGCAGCTGCGGGATTGAATTTAATCTTAGAAAACTCGTGAATATAACCTCCTCCTTGTGTGTGAGTCGGTTATAATTATATGTGATTTTGTCAAGCGGTCATGGTCTAAAATTTTGTAGCACTGAAATATAAATAACTACGTTTGTTTGTGTTTGTTTTATTCACAAAAAATGGTAACTGTAAATAATAACTCATTAATTATTCAACACGAAAAATAAAAACTTCTTTAACATATTTTTAAATAAT